AGAGGCCGTTTACACGTACACGGTGATTTTGATAAACGGAGACATCTTCCTTCGTTTGTGCCCTTCGTTTACACGCAAACGGAGATTTCTCCTCTGAAAACGAGTCTTTCTAAAAACTCCGGCCAGAGTGGAGATTTTGGAAAACTCCGGTTGCGCGTTTGCATGTAAACTGAGATAAACGGACATAAACGGAGTTATAGGCAGCCCACGTCACAGTATGCGCCAGAACTTGCCTCCTGTGTCAAAAGTGCGACCTATGTTGCTATGGTGACAATGGATACATGGAAGGCTTGAGCTTCTCGTTACACTGCCACCTACAGGTTTGGCATGCTCTTGTGTATATATACACGGGTAAGTGTAAACGAAGAATTTTTTGAAAACGGAGACGGTGAAATGTCCGTTTATGAAAATAGCCGGCCAAGTGTAAACGGCCTCTGACTGCAGAGGTCTAATCAGCCAGGAGTGAAGACACCTGTGTGGGTGTGCCTGCTCTGAAAATGTTTAACTGCACAAAATAAAAATGCACTTTTTAAACACAATAAAAAGGCTTTACTGACAAAATTATACTTCACTTTTTCCAATCTGCCTCCTGCGTTTGTGATATGTTTGTCTGCAATTCAGCTCTGTTAGTTTACTTTTATGCCATAGGTTTTAACTGAAAAAAAAAAAAAAATCTTAAGTATAAAATCCAAAATTAAAAAAATAATCTTGAGCTACAGTGTTCAAGGTAAATTACTATGCACCTCATTTAGCTGTTTTCACGGTCAAATTTTCAGCTTGCTTTAGACTTGCTTTAATCAGATAGAGAGTGATTTTTAATATTTTCTGTGGTTCTTGGCTCCTTGGTGTGTTTACAGAGAAACCTGACCCTCCGACTGACCTGGAACTGACAGACCAGACAGACAGGAGTGTTCAGCTCACCTGGATCCCTGGAGACGAAAACAACAGTCCCACACAAAGTATGAAATGGTTATCAAACTACACTTTCCCTAACTTGAAATCAGATACAGAATGCTTTGAGAAATATTTTTTGTCCGCTTTCTTTGAGGCAAAATCTACACTTATTTTTTGTTTAAATCATCCCCAGAGTTTTTGATTCAATACGAGGATCTGCTCCACCAGCCTGGAGTTTGGGTCAACCTGACGGATGTTGCCGGTACCAGCACCACAGCGCAGTTAAGCCTCTCTCCGTATGTCTACTACTCCTTCCGAGTCCTGGCTCTGAACGACGTTGGCTACAGTGAGCCGAGCCAGCCCTCAAGCCAATACAGGACCAACCCTGCAGGTGATAAACATGGCCACCCTCCATTTAAAAGAAATACTGCGTTATAGAAAATATTCAAACACTCATTGATTATAATTTTGTTTTTTTAGCTCCTGATGAAAATCCATCGAACGTTAAGGGGGAAGGAACAATGCCTGGCAATTTAGTCATCTCTTGGACAGTAAGCTATCCTTTTAGATATTTTATTTTGGGCTGAATGTGAGTCAAGTTAGAATATTTCAGTAACTGACAAAAAAATAAACTCTTTACACAGCCGCTGACAGGATTTCAGGCAAACGGGCCCGGTCTGGAGTACAAAGTGCAGTGGAGACAGAAGGACGTGGATGGGGACTGGTCCTCGAAGACTGTGGCCAATGTCTCCCAATTTGTTGTGTCTGGAACTCCGACCTACATACCCTATGAGATCAAGATTCAAGCTTTGAATGATTATGGCAATGCGCCAGAGCCTGACGTAACGGTTGGATACTCTGGAGAAGACTGTGAGTCAACTGTTTGATATATACTTTTTAGTTTATGCTAGAGCTGCAGACCTAACTGTTGATTCACAGTGGGATCGGTAGTGCTAGCAACACTTCAAAAGTTGTATGAGGTTTTTATCCATAGCAATCCATACTGGTTAGTTTGTGTTATTGTGCAACTGGTTTTTCAAAGGGTTGGTTTAGATTCACTGAAGTCGCACAATAACATGTCCAAACTGACCGCTTGTGGCAGCAGGAGACCAGAAACTCCCGAGTTCTGCAAGGTAAAATTACTGTTTTCGTCAAATGAGTCCAGTGGCTTTAAAGTGGGATCGGCTTCAGTTCCCTGTGGGAAAGGGCTGTCATAGTATACTCTAAAATATATTCTCAATATAGCGTACACTTCAACTTATATTGATTATTTTAGGTGGCTGCCGCTACTATCCACAGCTGCACAGTACTTTGCTTCTGTGGACAGTACTCCTGTCTGCTTCTCCAAACTAGGAACATGCCGACCACAATCTACTGTATGTAATACATTGGTACCTCATAGGATCTTGAAATTCAATCTTGACTAACTTTTCTCTCATATGTCTCTGCAGTGCCTCTGGCTGCACCTGACAGTGTGCAGATCATGGTTCACAACAGCACACTAGCAGAGGTACACTGGGAGCCTGTTGCTTTCCCCTCAGTCAGAGGAAGACTGCAGGGATACAAGGTATTGTGTTTTTTAAATGATTATTTCTGCAGCATTGGGAGTATTTGGGTGTCCCTGGTGTGAGGGGTACTGCCATTACTTTGATTGTCTGCACAGTGCTTTTTTTCTTTTTTAAACCCTTGCACCCACACACTCCATGGAAGCAATAACCCAGCAACATGAACTAGTGTATCATAGACTTTGCTCTGCATTCAGACCACACACACATCAGCACACACCCCCAACCAGTGTTTCTTACAGAATGAAGGGAAAAGCTCAGCCTATATATACACCCCACAAAATGGCTGACACTCTATCAATTATCCAGTGACGTTTTGGCACGTTTTGGCCAGCCTCCCAGGATGTTGTACCTCCCACACAGACATTTCAAAATAAAGCTCAAAGCAGAAAGCAAATATAACATGTTCAACCAAAGACACACATTCAGACTCTGTAGGAAAATAAAAAGAACAAAACAGAAGCTGCCTATGTGAGAGAACACATAAACTCCATTAAAAGACAAAACATAAAACAGTTTATTCTGGCATGTGTGTGTTCCAGGTGCAACTTCCTCAGAGGCTGGTCATGTGTGTGTCTGCTCCTCACTGGCTAACTGAGAATGAGTCAGCCATTTTGCAGTGTGTATCTAAAGGCAGTGCTTTCCTTTATTCTGTAAAGTGTGTGCTGAAGGATGTGTGTGGAGATGTGGAGGCTGGAAGTGCAGAAACTTTTCATTTCATTAGTTGGTTTTGGAGTTTTCTTGCACATGTTTAGTGTGTAGTAGTGATGGCGAGATGAAGCCTCATGAAGCTTTCCAGCAAATTGGTTCAGAAAAAGGTTCATTACTCGAGGCTTCATGTGCACACGAAACCTCTTGCAAGGCACAGATGATGCTGGTGTACACAAAAATCCAATGGCTAGTCTGTACAAATGTGGGTAAATTAGTTTCTGCCTCTCCCAGTACTCCAGTGGCTCCTCCAGTCTGCCAATATTTGTTTCAGACAGATAACGCTGAACCTCCACGGTAGCATTTGTTGTCATGTTCTGCGTTCTCCTGGCCTCCATGACCGTGTTGTCAAGATGGCGCCACAGTTTGTTACCTGAGAAGAACACGCACATCATGTTAGTGAGTGTTTTAATTCATTACCTTGGGTTATAGGTTGAACATCCTGTGACACTGACGCCTGATCCGATTCTAGGGTCTGAGCCGACCTGATTATGGCAGCACACTCTGACGTCAGCCTTTTTATTGCCTCAGTGGCTTTGGTTGGACTGAAAAATCCAATGACTTTGAATCGTGGGTCCAGTAATGTGGCTAGTGACACAATGCTCATGGATTGGAGGGTGTGGAGCCTCTCCCTCAGCTGCCTAATCAGGTGGTCTCCCATGTCCCTCACCACTGCAGCTGCCGTATTTGTGGTATCTTCTTGTAATGTCTGCTCCAGCATCTTCAGCAGTGGCACAACCTTGGAGCCAGAAACATTCTCCTCTGCCGAGAGCTCCACAGTGGCATCATTAAAGGGAGACAGCATAGACATGCACCCACCAACAATGTTAAACTCGTCCGAGGTCAGTAAGGGGATGTCAGTTTGCAGACCGGCCAAAGCGTCGGCCACTGGCTCTCTGAGCTCCATCAAACGATTAAGCATTTGATAGGTGCTGTTCCAGCGTGTCTCCACCTCTTGAATGAGCTTCAGTTTTGGCCTCCCCAGATGGTCTTGAACCTGTGCAAGCTTCTCTTTAAAAAAATACAGATGAGCAGTTAATTCAATCACTGCAGCAGTAGCACAAACAAAATATTAGCATTATCAAAAATTGGAATAAAGTCAAAGAACGTACCTTAGCAGTGGTGCTGCTTCTAAAGTAGCCAACCAGCTTCCTTGCCTTGGCCCGGATGTCACACAGCACAGGGGTTTGATCAAGAGCCTTCTTCACCATCAGATTCAGCGTATGTGCTATGCAGATAGTGTGGGGAAGCCTCAGTTCTCTGACGCAGGCAAGCATGTTGGCAACACCATCAGTAACCAGACATGTCACCTTATCAGTGATTCCCCAATCCTCCATTAGGGAGGCTTTCACACGGGCTAAATTTTCTGCAGTGTGAGAATGGGGGAATTTCAGCACTCCTAACAATACTGAATTTAGCTTGGTGTTCTCGTCAACAAAATGGCAGGTAACAGCCAGGTAGGCATCCATATTAATGGATGTTCACATGTCAGGGGTAAGGTTAACTGCAGCCACCTTCAGCCTTCTCCTTAGCTGCATCATATGTGGCCTCCACCATGGCCTTTACAGCCTAAAGGAAAGAAGAAAACAAAACGTGCTCAGTTATCAGATGTACAATGAAAGTACTCCTTTGCTTTATGCATGCACCCATACACACCTGCCTTGTGGGGAGAACATAGGTAGGATCAAGTTTGGACACAAATGCCCTAAACCCCAC